ATAGATAGATAGATAGATAGATAGATAGGGAAGTTAAAATTCCAGCAGCATAAAAAATACAGATAACATTAAATACAAAACATAATCAAATAAGATAAAAACATATGTAGGAATACAGAACAATATAATGTCAATAAATGTGCCATATTGAGGTGTACTGATGCAATATAACACCATATGAGGTAGTATTAAGTAAAGTCGCACTGCAAAAGACTACAAATACTACAAAACCGAGAACTACTATTGCTGATATTATTGCCCCCCCCCCCCCCCCCCTTGTGGCAGCACCTACCTCCTGGTGGACCCCTGCGAGCGGGAGGAGCGCGTGATGGACGGCCTGCTGATGATCGCCATGAACAAGCACCGGGAAATCTGCTCCATCCAGTCCAGCGGAGGCATCATGCTGCTCAAAGAGCAGGTGGGTGGAGACCAGGACCAGGGCCTGGACCAGGACCAGGACCAGGACCAGGGTCAGGACCAGGACCAGGGCCAGGACCAGGACTAGGGCCAGGACCAGGACCAGGGCCAGGACCAGGACTAGGGCCAGGACCAGGACCAGGGCAGGGACCAGGACCAGGGCCCTGGTCAGCCGGAGGAGGGCCTCACCGGTCAGGAGGGCTTCACTGGTCTGACTGGTGTGACTGGTCTTGTTGTTGAAGGTCCTGCGGTGCAGTAAAATAGCCAGCGTGAAGGTGTCGGAGATCACGGAGCTCATCAGCAAAGCTCTGACCAACGACCGGGAGGCCAGGTGAGCAGATTTAAGCTTTTTTATAAGGGTTAAAAAAAATGTTTTCTGATTGCGACGAGCTGAGTGGGGATGTGGACAATTATTATTATTATTATTATTATTATTATTATTATTATTATTATTATTATTATCATTTTTATCATAGTTGTTATTATTATAGATGGTATTAATATTGTAATAATAATAATAATAATAGTAAAATTATTATTGTTTTTATGATTTATATTATTGTTATTATGATTGTTTTTCTAATAATATCATCATTATTATCATTTTTGTTATTGATATTATTGTTATTGTTGTTGTCATAATAATATAATCATTATTATTGTTTTTGTTATTGATATCATGGTTATTATTGTTGTTATGGCTATTACTATAGTTATTGTTTTTGTGGTTGTTGTTGTTATTATTGTCATTATTATTATTATTGACTATTACATTGCAGTTTGTAAATGTATGTTTGGGGGGGCAGTGGAAAAGGGTCAATTGGAGATTGGACATATTTTATTGTTTTCTTTTTTTCCAATCCAAAGGGAAAAAATTTTTGGGGAAAGATAAAAGTTCCCATGAAAGGCATGACAGACATTTCCGGGTGCGTTTGATTCGTCATGAGCTGGATGACTCGATGGGCTTCAAACAATTAAATAATTTCCCTCTGGGATTATTAAAGTATTTCTGATTCTGATTCACGGGCTGTTCTGACTGTAATCCCGCAGGAAGGCGGGCGGCCGGTGGGGCTTCGCCGAGTCGCTGCCGCTCCAGCGAATCACGGCGCTGAAAGCGGAGGAGACGGCGGTGGAGACGGCGGACGCGAGCGAGGCGGCGAGGGAGGTGGTGGAAAAAACCGCGGCGCCGCCGGCGTCCCCGTATCCTGATCAGAGCTCTAACGGGGACGCCAGGCGGGCGGTCTGTTTAAGGGTGTTGGTTTGATTCCTGAACCGGAGCGACAGCGGCGTGCCGTCGCCGGTGGTTCCGGTTCCCGGCGTGGGACAGGTGGGACAGGGCCTGCCCAACACCTGGGGCCTGGAGGAGGAGGAGGAGGAGGAGGAGGAAGAGGAGGAAGAGGATCAGGGGACAGGTGGTGACGGAGGAGAGGACGTGGACGAAGAAATGGAGATGGAGGAGCAACAGCCTGAAAAAAAGGAGCCCAAAAAAGGTCATTGTTTACGTTTTTGTGTGGGAAAATCGTTGCTTATTTTATGTGGAATTTTGTATATATATATATATATATAATATATATGTATACATGTATATAAATGTATATATGTATCTGCCGTTGTTTTATTTATGGAGCGAGTAACAAAATAATTTCCCTCTGGGATTATTAAAGTATTTCTGATTCTGATTCCGATAAAAAATAAAGTGGAAATGTGCTTCTTACAGTGGATGTAATTGAGATATCAGACAGTGAGGAAGAGGAGGTGGTCATTCTTCATCCGGAAACCACAGAGAAAGCAAAGTGAGTGCTCCACCCCTTTCTCCTGCCTGTCCGGAACATATCGATCCACAAATGTAAAGAGCATTTTTAAACGGTTATCCTCTTTTCCTCAGAAACACGGGGTCACGGTCCCACCACAAGAGGGCAGCGACAGCCAAGAAAAGCCAGAAAAAATGACTTTTTTTGATTAAGTGAAAGGAGGAAAAACGTCGTTGTAAATGAAATAACAGCCAAATAAATATATTTTTTGCAATGTCTCTTCGTGTGTGTGTTGAAAAACATGATTTCCAATAAAATTTGACAAGATTGTTGATTTCACATTTATTTAATCGTTAATATTCATGTAAATATCATTGGAAGAGAACGTTTTGAGTTTTTTATGTTTTAAAAAAGTAGTCAATGTTGGGGAAATCTTAAGAGAATGTAAATGTTGAAGTTAATTGGAATCGTATCAATTAGCTAAAGTTAGGTTCCACCGAGATTTGAACTCGGATCGCTGGATTCAGAGTCCAGAGTGCTAACCATTACACCATGGAACCATACGAACTAATGGCGGATATTCAGTTTTTAAACAAGACACCTACTGTTACTTCCGAGAACGGTTCCTTTCCAAATAGTTTTTTTTCCATTTCGTTTCCTTTTCGTCTGATTCAATTCTTGCTTTTGTTCTTGAAAACATGAAAAAGGAAACCACACAAGAAGCTCGAGTTGACGTTGTGTTTATTTACTTGTTTTTTGTTTTTGTTTTTTACAGAAGAAACAATATTGTTATTTTCTTGATTCATTCTGAAACAGAAAGAAAAAAAAATGTTTTTGGCCCGTACGGGGATCGAACCCGCGACCTTGGCGTTATTAGCACCACGCTCTAACCAACTGAGCTAACCGGCCATGTGCTGCCAGACCACCACGTGCTTTTAAAAACATCGAACAAAGCACCATATCTTCTTTTTTTTGGCATTTACATATTGGAATAATGAAGATACCCTCTTGACTTCACTGCCTTCCTTTAAACTTGGGTTTCTGTAATTAACTTCAGAGTAGGGTCTCACCTGCTCTGTTTGGAAAGCGCTGTGAGACAACTGTTGTTGTGATGTGGCGCAATAGAAATTAAATTGAATTGAATTTAATTAATTTTAATTTTGTAATGTCATTGTCTGAACGTGTGTTTGGACTGATTTTTCTTATCTTGTGATTTTGTGTTGTTTTGTCTTCCTGCCTCAGGACGACAGATGTAAACTAGCAACTATGCTAGAATCTGGCTCATTTACAATCTGTATGAGATTGTTCATTAATGTGCACTTTCCTGATTAAATAAATAAACATAAACATTTACCTTTTCTAGCACTAGATGAATCATTCTTCCCTTTTCAATTCAATAAAAAGAAAAATAACAAACAAATAATCATCTATCACCACAAAGTTTTTATCTTCAGATGGAAAATGAGTCCTCAAACACATTTATCATCATTAATCTTCTACTTTTCCAAGCGATGAGTTAAAGATGAGTGTTGTTCAAGACTAAAATACATTAACAATGATCAAACTAGTCTAATATGTGGCCAAACAGGCAACTCCCTACATAATTCAAAGAGGAATTGCCTCTAGCTGACAACCATTTGGCACGTGGAAACAGAGACACACAACAGGACACAACATGAATAAATTATAAATAAATTAAATTGAATAAAATGGTAAATGAATAAATTACCTTATGTCTAAAATATTAGCGTAATTAAATCAATTTAAAGCTATTCTGAAGGCAGCCTCACTCTGTCAGTCAGACAAAATGAACAATTTCCCCAAAATTAGTCAGTGACCATTTAATTACATTTTGCCACTTGATTTATTTTCTCTTTCATTCATTTATTCTAGTGAATTTATTTATTTTCTGACATCTGGCTGAACTATTTATGCAACATTTTATTATTTCCGCACAAAGTGTCGATTACAGCATTTATTCACCCCAATTTTCCATTTGCATGTTTGTTATTTGGTTTATTAAAAAAACAATACAAAAACAGAGAGTTATGAAAGAAAAAATATGAGAAAGAAAAAACAAAAGGCTGCGACTGAAGTGCATGCAGGGCACATTTTACGCCATTTGAAAGTGATGCTTGACGCAAACATCTTGACAAATACAGGAAACAGATGGTGTGCGCTCAACAGGTTTTGGTCCAGTTGGGAAAAGCTATTGTTTCCTTTTTTTTACAATCGAGAGGAAATCAAGGGGAAACATTTCTTACTTCCCCCTTCAATGAAACATGGGCTCCAACAAATGGGCCAACGATGGAAAAAAAGTAACAGAGAAAACCAAAAACAATCATATAAATCATAAAACCATGGTCTATCTATCTATCTATCTATCTATCTATCTATCTATCTATCTATCTATCTATCTATCTATCTATCTATCTATCTATCTATCTATCTATCTATCTT